AGAGAGAACATCTCCTCTAGAAACACAGAACCAGAGAGAACACCTCCTCTAGAAGCACAGAACCAGAGAGAACACCTCCTCTAGAAGCACAGAACCAGAGAGAACACCTCCTGTGGAAGCACAGAACCAAAGAGAACACCTCCTCTAGAAGCACAGAACCAGAGAGAACACCTCCTGTAGAAGCACAGAACCAGAAAGAACACCTCCTTTAGAAGCACAGAACCAGAGAGAACACCTCTTCTAGAAGCACAGAACCAGAGAGAACACCTCCTCTAGAAGCACAGAACCAGAGAGAACACCTCCTCTAGAAACACAGAACCAGAGAGAACACCTCCTGTAGAAGCACAGAACCAAAGAGAACACCTCCTCTAGAAGCACAGAACCAGAGAGAACACCTCCTCTAGAAACACAGAACCAGAGAGAACACCTCCTCTAGAAACACAGAACCAGAGAGAGGCTGTAAGATACTCTGGGATCCCTGCGTACACTCACAGCAAGACAGTTTCAGCCTTGTGCGCAAACACACTCAGATACACAGGCAATGTCTCCCAACACTCCCCATTCAGGGCCAAGAAAGCACACACACACGCACACAAAGGAGCTGATTGTGGACTACAGGAAACTAAGGGGCCGAGCTTTCCCCCATCCACATCGACGGGGCTGTAGTGGAGAGGGTCGATAGTGAGAGGGGGGAGAAAGTGTGAGAGGGGAGAGAAAGTGTGAGAGGGGAGAGAAAGTGTGAGAGATGGGGGAGAGAAAGTGTGAGGGGGGGAGAGAAAGTGTGAGAGGGGGGAGAAAGTGAGAGGGGAGAAGATGAGAGGGGGGAAAGTGGTGAGAGGAGGAAGTGAGAGAGGGGAAAATCTGAGTGGGGGATGTAGGGGAGGAAGTGTGAGAGGAGGCGAACAGAGTGTGAGAGGGGAGAGAATGTGGAGGAGGGAAGTGAGGGGGAGAAAGTGTGTGGGGAAAGGTGAGGGAGAAGTGGCGATGTGCGGGGACGCCGTGTGACGGAGGGCGCGTGTGAAGGTGGGGCACGTGTGGGGGGACCGTTGTGCGGTGGCGCTGTTGTGTGGGCAGGCACAGTGTGGGGGGCGTGTACGGGGGGGAGCCACGTGTGCGGGGGGCGCCCTGTGCCGGGGCGCCCGTTGTGGAGGGGCAGAAGTGTGGAGGGGCCCGGAAGTGTGTCGGGGGCGCCCCGTGTGAGAGGGGGCCCCGTGTCGAGGGGGCGCCCAGTTGGTGAGGGGGGGGAACGTAGGCAGGAGGGGAGAGAAAGTGTGAGGGGGGAGAGAAAGTGTGAGAGGGGAGTGAAAGTGTGAGAGGGGAGAGAAAGTGTGAGAGGGGAGAGAAAGTGTGAGAGGGGGAGAAAGTGTGAGAGGGGGGAGAAAGTGAGGAAGAGAAGGAAAGAGAGAGCAGGAGCAGGAGGAAGGGAGTGTAGGCCATTAGTGCAGGGGAGAGGCAGCATTTACCTTGATTAGGGATTTTGAAGCATGTTTAATTCATGCAGGCACACAAAGGAGCTGATTGTGGACTACAGGAAACGAAGGGGCCGAGCACGCCCCCATCCACATCAACGGGACTGTAGTGGAGAGGGTCGATAGCTTAAAGTTTCTCGGTGTCCACATCACTAAGGAATTTTCATGGTCCACACACACCAACATAGTTGTGAAGAGGGCACGACAACGCCTGTTCCCCTTCAGGAGGATGAAAAGATTTGGCATGGGCCTTCAGATCCTCAAAAAGATCAACAGCTGCACCATTGAGAGCATCCTGACTGGTTGCATCACCACTTGGTATGGCAACTGCTTGGCATCCGACCGCAAGGCGTTACGGAGGGTAGTGCCTACGGCCCAGGTCATCACTGGGGTCAAGCTTCCTGCCACCCAGGACCTCTATACCAGGCGGTGTCATAGGAAGACCCTAATAATTGTCAAAGACTCAAGCCATCCAAGTCATAGACTGTTCTCTCTGCTACCACACGGCAAGCGGTACCGATGCAGCAAGTCTGGAACCAACAGGACCCTGAACAGCTTCTACCCCTAAGCCATAAGACAGCTAAATAGTTAACCAAATAGCTACCTGGACTATTTGCATTGAACCACTTTGCACTAACTATTTTCACATATACTGCTGCTACTGCTTATTATCTATCCTGTTGACTAGTCACTTTATCCCTACCTATATGTACATATCTACCTCAATTACCTCATACCCCTGCACATCTACTCTGTACTGGTACCCCGTGTATATAGCCAAGTAATAATTTACTTGTGTTCTAATTTTTCTATTTTTCTCTCTGCATTTTTTGGGAAGGGCCCGTAAGTAAGAATTTCACTGTTAGTCTACACCTGTTGTTTACGAAGCAAGTGACAAATACAATTTGATTTGATTTGACATACACAAACACACACGCTAAGCAGTCTTCTTGCCCGAAGTTTGCTGAAAGCATTCCTATAATCACACAAAGTTGGTCTGCCCTCAAGCAATTTTTGTGTACTGTTGTGTATAGTGTCATGCTATGTTTTGAAGAACATTACTTTCCAAACAAAGCCCCGTGCTATGGTTACCTCTGCCTGTATCTCAGACTACATAACTCAGAATGATATTATAGAGTCCCTCTTCACTAGCTGATTGGCAGGTACAGTATGTACCAGCAGGGCCTTGTATGTCAGGTTGGTAGGCTAAGTCAGACCTGATGCTGGGGATGAATTAGCTTAGGTAGCTGTGGTAAGGGTCATGAGACGCTTGTTAATAGTTATCCCTCACTTATGCTGATCTAAGCTGTAGCTATGATATAAGGAGCCCGGGGTGTTGTTGGATCAGGAGGAATCGATACCCTGTGAAAGCCTCAGGGCGTCCAGGGGGCAGCAGCCGACACTGCTGAGAGACTGCCTCTCCACTGATATTGCCATGAGATAGGGCCAGAGCCCTGGCCAAGCCCAGCAGATAGAGCCCTGGCCCAGCCCAGCAGATAGAGCCCTGGCCCAGCCCAGCAGATAGAGTCCCGGCCCAGCCCAGCAGATAGAGCCCCGGCCCAGCCCAGCAGATAGAGCCCTGGCCCAGCCCAGCAGATAGAACCCCGGCCAGCCCAGCAGATAGAGCCCTGGCCCAGCCCAGCAGATAGAGCCCTGGCCCAGCCCAGCAGATAGAGCCCTGGCCCAGCCCAGCAGATAGAACCCTGGCCCAGCACAGCAGATAGAGCCCTGGCCCAGCCCAGCAGATACAGCCCTGGCCCAGCCCAACAGATAGAACCCCGGCCCAGCCCAGCAGATAGAGCCCTGGCCCAGCCCAGCAGATAGAGCCCTGGCCCAGCTTAGCAGATAGAGCCCTGGCCCAGCCCAGCAGATAGAACCCCGGCCCAGCCCAGCAGATAGAGTCCCGGCCCAGCCCAGCAGATAGAGCCCTGGCCCAGCCCAGCAGATGGAACCCCGGCCCAGCCCAGCAGATAGAGTCCCGGCCCAGCCCAGCAGATAGAGTCCCGGCCCAGCCCAGCAGATATAGTCCCGGCCCAGCTTAGCAGATAGAGCCCTGGCCCAGGCCAGCAGATAGAGCCCCGGACCAGCCCAGCAGATAGATCCCTGGCCCAGCCCAGCAGATAGAACCCCGGCCCAGCCCAGCAGATAGAGTCCCGGCCCAGCCCAGCAGATAGAGTCCCGGCCCAGCCCAGCCATCATCACAGATAGACAGACAGTATACTCTTTCTCTGTTTAACACCATTACTGCTACTTTATTCTGAAGCCCATCTGGGTGGAAGGTTTTCTCTGGTAGATTATTGTTTTGGAATGGATGGTTGTTAAGGTGCTACTGGTGTCCTCTGTGCATTCTGTAGCCTACTATCCGTACATTCACCTCGTACATCTGAGGTGAAATGCAATCCATTACCCCCTGTGTTAGCCCCCCTGACCGGCCTGCTTATCCAATTGGATCGGCCCGTTCTCCTTGATACTGTGGTTTAAGATAAAAATGGTTGTTCTATCCCAATTGCCCTTCTTATATGTTGATCCACACCTTTATGTGCCAGCCAGGTTGGTGTTGATCATTAGTTGATGCAAGCCTGGCAATACTAATGTAATACAACAATTGGATTCATCAGCTGTAGGTGCATTTTTGACAATTGAAAAAGTATCTGCTGAGGATTCCTTAAGGCAGGATTTTGAGACCTAAAACTGTCTCCAACCCATCTGTTTTATATCCCCTTGCCTTCATTCAGTGTTTCTCTCTTAATCTACGGCCTATATTCAGTCCAGTCCAGTCCTATATTCAGTCCAGTCCAGTCCTATATTCAGTACAGTCCAGTCCTATATTCAGTATAGTCCAGTCCTATATTCAGTACAGCCCAGTCCTATATTCAGTACAGCCCAGTCCTATCTATATTCAGTACAGTCCCAGTACTATATTCAGTACAGTCCAGTCCTATATTCAGTACAGTCCTATATTCAGTACAGTCCAGTCCTATAATCAGTAAAGTCCTGTATTCAGTACAGTCCAGTCCTAAATTCAGTATAATCCAGTCCTATATTCAGGACAGTCCCAGTCCTGTATTCAGTTCAGTCCCAGTCCTATATTCAGTACAGCCCAGTCCTATATTCAGTGCAGTCCCAGTCCTATATTCAGTGCAGTCCCAGTCCTATATTCAGTACAGTCCCAGTCCTATATTCAGTGCAGTCCCAGTCCTATATTCAGTGCAGTCTCAGTCCTATATTCAGTACAGCCCAGTCCTCAGAGTGCAGGTTGTCAGGCCTGTTTACAGGTGCAGTGATTTAACTCTGCTACTCATACTGCTCTGCTCTCATCCTACCATTAACTCTCCAGTGCCACCAGCCCTACCCACTCCTCTGCTCTGCTCCATTTCTCTCAGTGGTTCAGAAAATAACCAGCTTCTCGGAAATTAAACCATGATATTGCCCATGGACTTCATTTTAGCTCATAAACTTTTGACCCGTGCTCTGTAATAAGTCTCTTGCATGCCAGGCCCTGGGGTGGCCCTATTCTCACTGTTAACTATGATGTATGTATATTTTGTAGGGGAGGCTCATGCGATTTGCCACTTATTGGAGCGTAAATGCGTAATGTTCTATGACCTTGGCCTTTTGTCCAGGCTGGGAGGGCTACAGCCCCGATCCATACACTGAGTTCTTTCAGCTTGGTTCTGAACCCAATGGTGCAGAATAGGGATGTCATACTGTTCCCATCATGCATCTTGAGCATCATTGCACCCCAAGTCAAAACAGTCCCTGTTTTGTCATTTTGAAAAGAAGGCCTTTGTTAAGTTGATCCAGACCTGATTTTCTTTGTTTCTCTTCTCTTTACAGAGAAGAGAATCTGCCTCTCTTTCCAAAAAGGCCAATAACACATTCAACATTGTTGGAACTACATACACCATCAACGAAGCAAAGGACCCAGGTTTAACCACCGTCTCCAGGAGTGCCACCACAGCTACACACCACCACCACCACCACAGCCACAAGGTCCCTAAAATGGACGACAATTACGTGGAAGCCATAAAGTCCTACAACCGCGTCAGCAAAGTGGACAAGATATCACGCATCATCTTCCCTGTACTGTTCTTCATCTTCAACCTGGTCTACTGGGCCACGTACATCAACAGCAAGCCGCGCGCCGTCCCCCCTCCCAGGTCCACCTCCCAGAATTAAACTCACCAGGACAAACTATTAGGCTGAGATTACAAGAGGCCAAGAGATCCACCACGTTATTGTATCGTTGTTTTTGACTTAATTTTGATATTTGCAAGTCGCTATAGGTTGCAGACAAACATTCTCGTAGATTCGTATGTACATAGTTGAACTATAAATGTTCATTTGTTGTTACCTGATTATTTGTTTGTTTGATAGAATAGCCGGATGGTGTTTTTTGGACATGTTTTCACTTCTCTTGACATGATAAATGGGAGCATGTGTTTGAATCCTTCATGGTAGCTCATTACATAGGATCAGGTCCTGGTTAATCACTGTGTGTAAACACAAACTCTCACACCCAAACACACCCGCTCACACCCAAACACACACACTCACACCCAAACACACACTCTCACACCCAAACACACACACTCACACCCAAACACACACACTTACTCCCAAACACACACACTCACACCCAAACACACACACTCACACCCAAACACACACTCTCACACCATTCACTCTGAATTGCGTCAGGATGCAACAAGGAGAGCCATTGGCTGCTTGTCGCTGTAATGAGCTCTTATAGCCAGGGGCAGCCTGTAGAGTTCCATAGGGACATCATTAATAATCGTCAGTGTCTGCCCTTCTGCTAGCGCTGAATCTCAACAGACCCAACGCAATATCATCTGGAATTGCTTTTCTGTCCTATCGGGCCTGCCTGCGCATTTTCCAGTCCAGAGACTCTTATTGTTTTAACAGGCTGAGTATGTTCAAAGAGAAAGAAGCAGTGTGCCTTTTTTTGAATACCCACATCATCAAGATTAAGCTTTTGGCACACACAAACACAACACAAACATACTGTACATACATACATACTGTACATACAAACACATACACACACACATAAACATACATACATACATACAGTACAGACACACACATACACACATACATACACATACACACACACACACACATACAGTGCCTTGCAAAAGTATTCATCCCCATGGCGTTTTTCCTATTTTGTTGCATTATTTGGATTTCATGTCATGGACATACACAAAATAGTCCAAATTGGTGAAGTGAAATGAAAAAAATTACTTGTTTCAAAGAATTCAAATAAATAAATAACGGAAAAGTCGTGCGTGCATATGTATTCATCCCCTTTGCTATGAAGCCCCTAAATACACATAATTAGTTTAAAAAGGTCCACCTGTGTGCAATCAAAGTGTGTCACATGATCTGTCACATGATCTCTGTATATATACACCTGTTCTGAAAGGCCCCAGAGTCTGCAACACCACTAAGCAAGGGGCACCACCAAGCAAGGGCACCATGAAGACCAATGAGCTCTCCAAACAGGTCAGGGACAAAGTTGTGGAGAAGTACAGATCAGGGTTGGGTTATAAAAAAATATCAGAAACTTTGAACATCCCAAGGAGCACCATTAAATCCATTATTAAAAAATGGAAAGAATATGGCACCACAACAAACCTGCCAAGAGAGGGCCGCCCACCAAAACTCACGGACCAGGCAAGGAGGGCATTAATCAGAGAGGCAACAAAGAGACCAAAGATAACCCTGAAAGAGCTGCAAAGCTCCACAGCGGAGATTGGAGTATCTGTCCATAGGACCACTTTAAGCCGTACACTCCACAGAGCTGGGCTTTACGGAAGAGTGGCCAGAAAAAAGCCATTGCTTAAAGAAAAAAATAAGCAAACACGTTTGGTGTTTGCCAAAAGGCATGTGGGAGACTACCCAAACATATGGAAGAAGGTACTCTGGTCAGATGAGACTAAAATTGAGCTTTTTGGCCATCAAGGAAAATGTCTGGCGCAAACCCAACACCTCTCATCACCCTGAGAATACTATCCTCACATTGAAGCATGGTGGTGGCAGCATCATGCTGTGGGGATGTTTTTCATCAGCAGGGACTGGGAAACTGGTCAGAATTGAAGGAATGGTGGATGGCGCTAAATACAGGGAAATTCTTGAGGGAAACCTGTTTCAGTCTTCCAGAGATTTGAGACTGGGACCCTAAGCATACTGCTAAAGCAACACTCAAGTTGTTTAAGGGGAAACATTTAAATGTCTTGGAATGGCCTAGTCAAAACCCAGACCTCAATCCAGTTGAGAATATGTGGTATGACTTAAAGATTGCTGTACACCAGCAGAACCCATCCAACTTGAAGGAGCTGGAGCAGTTTTGCCTTGAAGAATGGGCAAAAATCACAGTGGCTAGATGTGCCAAGCTTATATAGACATACCCCAAGAGACTTGCAGCTGTAATTGCTGCAGAAGGTGGCTCTACAAAGTATTGACTTTGGGGGGGTGAATATTTATGCACGCTCAAATTTTCTGTTTTTTTGTCTTATTTCTTGTTTGTTTCATAATAAAAAATGGTTTGCATCTTCAAAGTGGTAGGTATGTTGTGTAAATCAAATGATACAAACCCCCCAAAAATCCATTTTAATTCCAGGTTGTAAGGCAACAAAATAGGAAAAATGCCAAGGGGGGTGAATACTTTCGCAAGCCACTGTACATATGGTGACCTATATGGTTTAGGTCTGTGTGTGGCATTTCCCCATTCTCTCCCTCCACCTACAGCCAATGGTCACTAGGGGACATGGTCAGCAAGGGTGAAATCTCCAAACGCATATCATGCTAAAGGCCTGTGTAAGGTAGAGGGGAAGCTGCAGAAAATAGAGTCACTACCACGATAAAATGTAATCATAATGTGACTGATGCAGCATTATAAAATATTCTCTATGTACATTCTCATATATGGCTTACAGTGGTCAGCCTCAGTGAGTCACATACAATAGCTAATTGACCTGTCATGATATATTGTGAGTTAGTTTTTTTTTGCTCTTGAAGTGCTTTGAGATTCTATGAAAAGCGCTATAGAAGTTTAATAAATTATTATTTAGATTTATAGCTGTCATAGTATTCTGACACATCATTACCTCAGACTTTCGTCTAATACAGATAACAGTAATATAGACATTTAAATAGTAACGCATTCATCTATTAATTTTTTCAACCATGTTCTAGTTATAGTAAATATTCTGGACTTTTCAGGTAGCCCTTTCCTGCAGTCAAATGACCTAGTGGCCTCATGGGTGGAATGTTATTCATATTTTTCATAATATCATATTTAATAAACATTATTTAAATTAACCTGGCCAAGATCCAGTGTTTCTAAGTCAAACAGTTTTGTTATATTTGTCTTCTGTGATGTATGTAAAGAGTAATTTTGGAATGCAAACTCAACATGTAATACATTTCATCTCTATATCTGACATGGTACAGGTGTCCTCTTTTCTTTAAGCCCATAACCATGTGTGTGAGGTGTATACTTTTGTTTCAAAGTAGATTTGTTTAAGACGACCAAGAAACACTCTGTGACCCTGATTTAGCCCACTGCAGTAAAACGTTAATAGATATTTTCTGATGAATGCTTTGACCCTGCTCGTGTTCATTTCTTCATGAGATTGTGATACACGTTTGAGGCCCGATTTAGATAAAGGCAACTTATTTTTTAATATGATAATTTCCCATTCTATAGATTTGGTTTAATTTTTTTGTAACTTATGATTTGCATAATAAAGGTGACTGTGGATAGGAAAACGCATCTTATGTTCAACATTCCACACTGCAGGCCACAAATCATCAGAAATGTTGTTAGACTGTTTTAGACGTCCACATACATAAAGCAGGGGTGAAGGAGGCACTGCATCGGTCTAAGGCACTGCATCGCAGTGCTAGCTGTGCCACTAGAGATCCTGGTTCGAATCCAGGCTCTGTCGTAGCCGGCCGCGACCGGGAGACCCATGGGGCGGTGCACAATTGGCCCAGCGTCGTCCAGGGTAGGGGAGGGAATGGCCGGCAGGGATGTAGCTCAGTTGGTAGAGCATGGCGTTTGCAACGCCAGGGTTGTGGGTTCGATTCCCACAGGGGGCCAGTATGAAAATTAAATAAAAATAATAATAATGTATGCACTCACTCACTAACTGTAAGTCACTCTGGATAAGAGCGTCTGCTAAATGACTCAAATGTAAAATGAGAGGCAGGTGTTCTGCTAAAATATGTTGTGCTAAAATCATACAGCTTGTACGTGGCGACGGTAATAGTTTCTGTGAAAGTAATGATGTTGCACAGGACTTTTCCAGTGTGTTCTGCGGTTGTTAAGTAGATGACTTGCCCAGAACCCAACATGCAGTATGTTCTCAACCATCTCGCAAAACAAGACTACGTTCAAAGGAGAAACGCCTTTCAAATGGATAGAATGGATACCATTTTATTGTGACTTCTCTGAAGGTGTGTTAAAAACACAAACCATGTACAATGTATCAAACATATACATGACAGTCTGTACGTGTGGAAGTTTGCAACCTTCAGTAATGCTATTTGTCATATTGAAATCTAAGGATTAGTATTGTATCAGTGTTTCAGTTGCTCACTAAGATACTGTGTAGTATTCCAGCTCTGTTGGATCTGGAGATCTTCCTTCTAGCAGGTTGATAGCTACAGAAAGGACACCTATCATCATAAAATCATATATATACAGTACTAATCAAAAGTTTGGACACACCTACTCATTCAAGGGTTTTTCTTTATTTTGTACTATTTTCTACATTGTAGAATAATAGTGAAGATATCAAAACTATGAAATAACGCACATGGAATCATGTAGTAACCAAGAAAGTGTTAAACAAATCAAAATATATTTTATATTTGAGATTCTCCAAAGTAGCCACCCTTTGCCTTGATGACAGCTTTGCACACTCTTGGTATTCTCTCAATCAGCTTCACCTGGAATACTTTTCAAACAGTCTTGAAGGAGTTCCCACATATGCTGAGCACTTGTTGGCTGCTTTTCCTTCACTCTGCAGTCCAACTCGTCCCAAACCATCTCAATTGGGTTGAGGTCGGGTGATTGTGGAGGCCAGGTCATCTAATGCAGCACTCCATCAGTCTCCTTCTTGGTCAAATAGCCCTTACACAGCCTG